TAGTATCCACAGTCCAAGAGAAATCCAGGTTCTCAGAGGGCACACCTTAGGACAAAACAAAGGCAACAGATTTGATAGCAGTGTTGAGAGCCACATCGGAGCTGATCCAAAGCCTCCCACTACTTTCGCAAGCCACCTAACCTCTTTCCACCATGTTTGATCCACTACTACATGAGACAAATGGGTGTTAACAATGGGCAATGATGTCTACCGTGTTCATTTCCACACCTTATCCCTGTCCCTCTTCAGGGACCCATCTCACTGTTACAAAAAGAAGTGACCTTGTTGCTCCTTCTAGGAACCATGGAAGAGGGACCTAAGCAGTACTGGGGAGAAGGCTTTTACTTCTGATATTTCCTTATGCTAAAGTGGGGGGAGGGACTTTGTGCTATCCTAGACCGAAGGAGAATGAACAAATACATGCACTGCATCAGATTCAGAATGGTAATGCTTGCCTCTTCATACCATCTCTGCAGACTCAGAACTGTCTTGTGGCTCTTGAGTTACATGACAAATACTTCCATAAAACTATCTTCCTGGCCCACAGGAAGTATCTGAGATTCAAAGTGGGACCAAATCACTAGCAGTACAAGATACTGCCATTTGGACCGTCTATGGCACTGACAGTCTTCACAAAATGCCAAGTGGTGGTAGCAGAATTCCTGAGGAGACAGAGCATCCACGTCCACCCTTACATGGATGACTGTAAAGCAAGTCCCAGCAGGAAGTGGCAGTGAGCCTAGAATATGCTACCTCTCTGTTCAACCAGCTAGGTCTCTGGCTGAAATATGAAAAATCATGTCTTACCTCATTACAGATAGAGCTGATAGGCACTATGATCGACTTCAGAGAGAGAGAGTACCTGCCAAAGACAGGTTTCTGTCACTGCAATCACTGCTCATTAAGATAAAAATCAAACCCCACTACATGGTACAAACTTGCCTTGAAGTGTTAGGCCATATGTCAGAGTGTACATGTTTGACACTGCTTGCTGGACTTCACCTGCAGTCCCTACAATTCTGACTCAGGTCCATTTACTCTCCATTGAGACACTGCAGTGACAGGAAGGTCTCATTGCTACCTCATGTCCTCACAGAGTTGATAGGGATGATGGAACCCAAAAATCTGTGGGAGGTGGTACTATTCTAATCCGCCTTCCCAACAAAGATTGTGATCACAGAAACATCTGGGGCAGGGTAATGTCACCTGGACCACCCACAAATGAATGTGACCTAGTCCCCAGGAGACATAGGACTTCACATAAACATCCTGGAACTCAGAGCTGTCAGACTAACCAGTATAATGTTCCTACGTGTCCTCCAAAATTTCATAGTGCAGCTCCTAATGGGCAACATCTCTATGATGCCCTATATAAACAAGCAAGCCGATGCCCACTCATCACCCCTCTTCCTGGAAGCTATCAAACCCTGGACATGGTGTCACCAACATGGGAGAACCCTGTTGGCTCTTCACCTCTCAGAAGTCAGCAATGACCTGGCAGACTTCCTGAGCAAACAATTGTGACCAATAATGAGTGATCCCTGCAGAGGTCCATCAAAGCCAATATTCCATTGGGGGAGAAGGGTCCCATGATAAACCTGGTCACTATCAAAGACAATGCCAAGTGCCAGAATTTTTGTTCCAGAGCGACATGAACCTTGGGTCATTGCCAGACTCCTTTCTTCTGCAATGGAATCCAGGCCTCCATTTGCCTTTCCCCCAACTTCCCTGATCCCCAGGTGACTTCCAAAATCAAAAGAAACAAACCCACAGTAATTCTCATCATTCTCCCTACTGGCCAATGGCTGACTGACTTAAAGATGCCCATTCACCCTTTGATTTAGTTCCGAAACTGCCTGATTCTCATGTCACAGCACCACAGTCAGATAGTCCATCCAGACTCAAAGTCCCTTTACCTGATAGCCTGGATGTTGGCTGGTTACGTACCGTGGACATGGAGTGCTATAGGCAAGTCCCAGAGATCCTGATATAGACAAGGAAAACATTCACCAGAGGGACTTATTTGTCAAAATGGAAGAGGTTCTTGATATGCAGAGCCAGCGTGGCTTGGACCCTCTGCATGCTTCAATACCAAAGCGCCTGGACTGTTTGCAGCATCTGAAACAGTCTGGCCTTTCATTCAGCTCCACTAAGGTTCAACTAGTAGCAATATCAGTTTACCATCCACCTGTGCAATCATGTTCCATCTTTCACCCAGAGCTATCAGAATTCATCAAGGGCCTGTTACGTACTTACCCACTGGTCAAAAGAACCTGCCCCTACCTAGTACCTCAGCATCATCCTCTCAAGGCTTTCAGGATGCTCCTTACTTCATCTCACTCTGAAGACAGTCCTTATGTCTCACCCTCTTATTAGGACATTTCATAGGAGAAGGTGATGCTGAAACCTCATCAAAGGCTCATCCCCAAGGTGGTGTCAGAATTCCATCTGAATCAACCAATCAATCTGTGTGCCTTCTTCCTGCTGCAAGGCAGCAATGTAGAGTAACCCACTGACATTCATCAAACGCTGTGCCCTGGACTAGACGGCCAAAGCAGATGCCAAGTTCAGGAGAGCGGTACTACAATCTCTGTTTGACTAATGCAGCTGATACTACTCTTCCTACTATCCAGAGAGAGTACTGCTTGCCAGTCACCTATCATGGGATTTACACTGCTATCCTCAAAGAAGAAAGAAAGGTTATTTACTAAAGAATAGATCTTTGAGATGTTGTTGTCAGTCTGGATCCTATAATCTGCCCTTCATCCCCACTTTCAGAATCCTCAGTGAACACAAGTTTCAAATTGCAAGAGAACTGAGAGAGGGTCATGGCCACTCCACCCTTTATGTCTTCCTGTTGGAACATGAGGATGCACAGGGCCTATGCATAGGCCTGACAAATGCTGGTATTCAAAAGAATCCAATCTTGCGCACATGAGGCACATGGGCACCTACAGTGGACTCCACACTGGCAACATCATCTCAAAGAACCACAGTTACTGTAGAGTAAATAACATTCATTCTTTTTGTTATTGTTGCTTTTCTTTAGAAATACTCTATCCCGTTACCTCACAACCTTCATAGAATCATAGAATATCAGGGTTGGAAGGGACCTCAGGAGGTCATATAGTCCAACCCCCTGCGCAAAGCAGGACCAATCCCCAACCTTGACATGGAGATCAGCTAGTTTATGCAGGTGTTACATAGAACTGGCTCTTCAGGGAGGATTTAAATGCAGATAGTGGCCTTGCAGACCAGATCTGAGTGGGGGTGTTCTATCCGTAGGGGGCGGTACGGAAAAAGGCGAAAGGACTAATGAAGTGGACTAATGACATGTAAAAGCTGGCATCACTGGCAGATTAAAGGGGATGGAGAGGAAAGGAGTAGCATTGAAACAGACAGGATGGAAAAAATAGGGAGGGCAGAACTATGCAGGGCTTCGAAGGCAAGGACATAAAGCTTGAACTTGATGTATTTGAGGAAGGGAGTCCTGTGGAGAGACTAAAAGAGATGGTGATGTGATTGGACCAATGGACAGAGAAGATTAATTTAGTGGGTGTGCTTTATATGGATTAGGAGGGAGTGGATAGTGTTGTTAGGAAGGCCAGACAGGAGGCAGTTAAATTAAGATAAGAGACAGAGTCTCAGAACAAAAGATTTAGCTGTAGGGGTAGAAAGAACAGGACGGAAGTTAGAAGCTGGGTTGCTAGATGATTAAATCTGTGTTGTCATGTTTATGAATATTTTGTCTGGAACTAAGTGTAGGCTGGGTGTATTGCTTGCTATTCTGATGGATGGATATACAGAAGCTTTCATGAATTTACTGTCACGCGTTCTGTGAACTGTCACTGAATTTTATGAAGAAGCTCATATTTGACATCTTTTTCACACACACATTCCATTGGCATCAGTACTCTTTTTTTCCATGCTCAAGAGAAACATGGATGGAATTAGTACCTTCATGCAGATTTTGCTATATTCTCTGAAATTTCCATTTAAGCTTTCCTTTTTAAAAAAGGACATTTTTAGCCCTTCTAGTTACAAGAATCTTTATCCAGTATAGATTGTCTTGTTCAGTCTGCCACCATTAATAAGAGAGATGCAACCATACGTGCGCGCGCGCACACACACACAAAATATATATAGGGGTTAACTATGAAACTTGATTAGCAGAGACAGTTACCCTCATTGTTCATGGAAACAGACATAATTGCAGAATCTGGTTGGCTCTTTGGTTTTGAATGTCATGTCACAAATGTATAATTCTGTTTGAGTCCTGAGGGAGCAGGAGCCGATTAGAAGATCTGATCATTGGCCCTCTCCTTCAAGCTCATGATTATTTTGCTATCTACTGTTAACTCTACTTTTTTCTGAAACACATTATTTCCAGATACAGCAGCTATTCCTTAGTTTAGATCTGTGCTTATGATCTTATGTATATGACACTCCATAAATATTGGATTTCATCTTACTTAGTTGCTCTAATAATCTGTCTAGATTACTTTGCAGTTTGATCTCGCTCACCGTTTACTCTTTCTGACTTTGGTGTTATCTCCATATTTGATTGCAGCTGAATTTGTTTTCCCTGTCCAAAAAATAAATCACTGATCCCACTTCATATTTTTCCCCATTTGTAGAGCTCACAATGAATGAGTACTCTCTGAACCCTATTTACCAACCAACTACCTATCCATACTACAATAGTTTTATATGGTAGAGTTTTGGCCCTACTTGTAGTTCACCTTACTAAAGTGCAAATGTATCCATTGCAGTCCTTTACTCTAGCAAATCAATATCTGTGTTGTAGGCTGTGTTGGCAGCTGTTTCACAAGCCCAAAGCATAGTCAAGAGAAAGAGACAAATATTTAAATTAAGTTTTGTTTTACTTTAATTCACATATATTTTACCAGCTGGAGAAAAAGAAGAAGAAAAAAATTGAACAGGCTACACTTGCCAGCGCAGAACAAACTGTTCTAACAGCCGTCTCATTTTTATTTCAGAAGTCTACAGAGCAAATGAAGAAAGTCCCTACTATTGTTCTATCAGTTTCTTACAAGGGAGTCAAATTTATTGATGCAACAAATAAGGTATGTGTAATTTTTGGACATCAGATTTTATTCCTCATTGTGCTAGATAGCTTATCTAGTAAAAGCCACATGGGGATCAGGGCTTGGATTCCCCCCCCCCCTTTTTTTTTCTCTCCTACCCTGAACAGACAGAGTACCTCTCTCACTCTCCAGAAACCCACTCCTGTGGACAAACAGAGCAGCACTGATGGCAGTTCTGGAGGGAATTGTGTCCAGTCTTCCCCCATCAAAGGGAAGCTCATCACAAGAAGGGTTTGGCAGGATGCCCCTTCTCACCTGGACAAAATCCCCCAACCTATTTTCCCGTTACAGTACATTATGCAGAAAAGTATGTGCTCCTCGCTTTTCAAAACACAAAATATCCCGTATGGGGGCTTTTCCCACCCCCTGTACGTGTACTAAAATTGTGGGTTTTTATACAAGACCCAACGTAACAAAGGTCAAGAGGTATGAGACTAGTATAATCGTCTTCCAGCTTCCAACCATTTAAAGGGAGTGTCATAGGTTGTGCCTGCCCTTTAGTTCTCCCCTCTGGCCAAGCGTGGCTCTGCTGAGGCGCGCCTCAGTTTCGCTTTAACTCAGGCTCCCTTAAAAAGTCCACACAGGCCAGATATACAGAATTTGCCCCCTTTGGAGGTATAATTTAGTACTTCCAGCCTGGTTTATAATGGTTTCAGTGCCTACACAGCAAGGGTACCGTTCTGCTGTGGCAGTGTCCCAAGGGAACTCTAGGGCATTGCAAGCAACCCCTTATGGAGTGAGAGGACTTTGTACAAAAACTAGATAAAGTGAAACTCAGCTGTTTGTTTTGGACCATGGAAATTCATCGGCTTACTTTCTTTCTTTCTTTCCTTCCTTCCTTCCTTCAAAGGAAAAATCTCAGTATAGATAAATGCCAAAAACCACGAGATTTCAAGTTAAAATATGCAAAAGACTCTCATGAGTTTCAACTAGTTTCAAAACACAAAGCTCTAAACCAGTGCAGGTTTACTCAATGCTGAGTCCAGGGTCACTTGAGAGCTTTACAAAGGTTAGCACAAGGGTCGGCAACCTTTCGGAAGTGGTGTGCCGAGTCTTCATTTATTCACTCGAATTTAAGGTTTCATGTGCCAGTAATACATTTTAATGTTTTTAGAAGGTCTCTTTCTACAAGTCTATAATATATAACTAAACTATTGCTGTATGTAAAATAAATAAGGTTTTTTAAATGTTTAAGAAGCTTCATTTAAAATTAAATTAAAATGCAGAGCCCCCTGGACCGGTGGCCAGGACACGGGCAGTGTGAGTGCCACTGAAAATCAGCTCGTGTGCCTCCTTCGGCACGCGTGTCATAGGTTGCCTACCCCTGGGTTAGCAAAACTTTCAGTGAGATGAACCTGTTTTCAAGCGTATAGCACACTTGAAACCAGATGAGTATTATGTAGCTCCTGATTTGGGGGTAAATATTTCACATAGTTCTAATATCTTTTGAGCATTAATCCCTTTTCATCTTTAATGCAACATTGGTAATACACCATGATCATATGGTAATGTATTACAGCTTTATTTGTAGGAAGCTAAAACCTTGCTTTTTAGTATCATTTTAATTCTGATAAAAATCTTTGTCTAGGCCAACAGTTCTCAAACTGAGAACAAAAGAAATATAAAGAAAACCATATTATTGTGTTTTGCCTAAAGCAACATAAAATCAAATGAACATTAAATATAATTAAGTATAAAGATTTTCACAAATGGGTGTCCATTAAGTCATAATAATTGTTTATTGTCATTTGGTATGAGTAATACATTATACAGAAATAGAAAGCAAATAATGTGCTGCAACAGTTTAAGATTAAGAGGATTATTTTGTGTCTTCAGTTACAATTTCCTTATTTTGGATTTTTGCATAATTTGAATATAAAAAAGTGTTGGAATGCTGCCCTTTTATCCAGAGTTTACTCACTCATTATTTCCTCAATTAGATATTAATAGGCCTTTCAGAAAACTTGCCAAGTATTCAAGTATATCTTGGCAGGTTAGAAGAAGACAGGGGAGAGTGATTCAAATGACCGAGTTACATATAATCTCCCCTCCAAAAAAAGAGACATGCTCAAAGAATGCTTTTAATTTGCACAGATGTTACTGACACAACATTTAGCCATAGATCTCACTGACTGTGACATTAGACATCATATATGTTATGATAATACTGTATGCTTAGTGCCAAAAAAAACAGTGTGTAGCAGCACTATAGTATTTTGATGGAGTAGCGATGTCATCCTGCAGACAGGAATAGTCTGTGTTTGTGGAAATGCAGTAGCCACATTGAATAAGGCTATGATTTAGGAAAGCACTTACCCATATGGTGAAAACTATCCTTATTCGTTGACTCACTTTGAGCATGTGCCTTTGCTGAAATCAAGGCTTAAATCTATGACCATAATTCAGCCTCCTCTTTGGCTTCCTGGGTCCTTTGGCCTAAACAAGGTAAAGATACAACAGTATTTTTACACAGGTAAACGTTCATTATTTTCTCCAAAGCTTTAGACAAAGTCATCTTTTCATACATCAGGCAGACATGTCTTGTCTTTGCCTCAGTACCATTCTGTAGTTTAATTTGGCCATTACATACGTGTCCTTCTCTGCATGAACAGTTTAATTTCTCCATATCCCTCTTGCAGGATGGTCTTGGCAGTAAACTGAGATATATTGCCACATCTTTCCAAAGTAATCCTTTTCCTGAAACCCCTTTAACAGCTCCATGCTTGTACATTGATGAGTATTGTTCATTCTATTTGAGGTGGAAGAGTCAGATTGAATTTCTTCAAACTGTGCATGCAAAGATCCAGAGAATGCACCTGCACTGTCCTACCTGTGGGCTGCAGTGGTACTGATTGTTAGAACAGAAACAGCAGTATCAATGGGCATAGAAGTAGAAAATTAATAGTCTATTATAGTTATTCTCTCAGGTGTGTCCCATGAAAGATGCCTCTTTGCCACAGGATACCATGGAAATTGTACAGTGCTCTCATTTGAAAAGCGACTCAGAACTGGAGGAAAGCTCCAGGATTTTGCAGTTTCCTGTTGAATTCACTATTGATGCTAGATAATACTTTGGATACTGTTGGAGGGGCCAGAATTCAATGGTCTGTGTAAGAAGCTGAACATGTGGTGTTTTAATCATATTTTAATTAAAAGACAAAGTACCTTTGAAATATTTTAGTACAGAGGATGACTATAGCCTTAAAATGCTAAAAACAGATAAAGTTATTATATAAGGGACATCTATACTTAATTCCTGTGTTGACTGAAAAATAGTGATGCTTTAGTTCTTTTTTTAACAGAATATTATTGCTGAACATGAAATCCGCAACATTTCCTGTGCTGCACAAGACCCTGAAGACCTCTCGACGTTTGCATACATCACTAAAGACTTGAAGACTAATCACCACTACTGCCATGTATTTACTGCATTTGACGTGGTCAGTTTACGGAAGCTGTTTCATTTGACAATTTCCTTTATAAATCATTTTCATTAAAAATTATCAGTATAAAATTAGTAATAGTAAATGTTACATATATTGAAAAGGTTTAGAAAGAGCCAGCTAGGTGATGAAATGACACCGCTGTAGGATTACAAAGTATTTCTCTGAGATGTTAGCTCATTTCCCCTCACTTCTCTATGGAATAATTTTTCCTCTGGAACAAGTTTGTTCTTGTTTCTCAGCTGTTGATTCTAATGGTGGAAGGCAATTTGGGTGAAAGTAATCATGAAATGTTAGATTTCATGATTCTAAGGAAATGAAGGAGTGACAGCAGCAGAATAAGGACAACGGACTTCAAAAAAGCAGACTCAGAGAACTGGTAGGTAAGGTCACATGGGAAGGAAATCTAAAGGAAAAAAGAATTCAGGAGATCTGGCAATTTCTTAAGGAGACAATATTAACGGCGCAACAGCAAACTATCCCAAGGTGAAGGAAAGATAAGAAGGCTAGTTAAGAGGCTGATATGGCTCCATCAGGAGTTCTTTAATGACCTGAAAATCAAAACAGAATCCTATAAAAAGTGTAAAGAAGGACAAATTGCTAAGAATGAGTACAAAAGAATAGCATAAACATATAGGGACAGAATCCGAAAGGCTAAGGCACAAAGTGAGTTACACCTAGAAATGGACATAAAAGCCAAGAAGAGAAGATTCTATAATTAGTAGCAAAAGAAAGATGAAGGAAAGTGTAGGTTCTCTATTTAGCAGGGAAGGAGAACTAATAATGTTCAACATCAAGACAACTAAGGTATTTAATGCCTATTTTGCTTAAGTCTTTACTAAAAAGGTTAAGGGTGACCAGATACTTAACACAATTAATATTAACAATAAGGGGGGAAGTAACACAAGTCAAAATAGAGATAGAACAGATTAAAGAATGTTTAGGTAAATTAGCTGTTTCGATGGCAACAGGACCTGATGAAAATCACCCTAGCATAATTAAGGACTTAGCTGAAGCAATCTCGGAATCATTAGCAATTATCTTCAAGAATTCATGGAGGATGGGTGAGGTCCCAAAGGACTGAAGAAGAGCAAACATAGTATCTGTCTTTAAAAGGGGGAACTAAGAGAAGCTAGGGAATTATAGACCAGTCAGCCAGACTTCAATACCTGGAAAGGTACTGGAACAAATTATTAAAGAATCAATTTGTAAGCACCTAGAGGCTAATAGGGTTATAAGTAGTAGCCAACATGGATTTGTCAAGAACAAATCCTGTCAAACTAGCCTAATTTCCTCCTTTGACAGGATTACTGGCCTAGTGGATGGGGGGGGGAACCTGTAGCTGTGATATATCTTGATTTTTTGGTAAGCCTTTTGATACAGGCCCACATGACATTTTCATAAGCAAACCAGGAAAATGTAGTCTAGAATAGATTAAATTACTATAAAATGGGCGCAAAACTGGTTGAAAGACCATTTTCAAAGAGTAGTTATCAATGGTTTTCTGTCAAAGTGGGGGATATATCTAGTGGCGTCCTGCAGGGAGCTTTCCTGGGTCCCATACTGGGTCAATATTTTCATTAACTACTTTGATTATGGAGTGGCGAGTATGATTATAATATTTGCAGATGACAGAAGCTGAGTGGGGCTGCTAGCACTTTGGAGGACAGGATTAGAATTCAAAACAAATTGACAAATTGGATAATTGGTCTGAAATCAACAAGATGAAATTCAGCAAAGACAAATGCAAAATACCGCACTTAGAGGTGAAAAAATCAAATGCACAACTAAAAATGGGAAATAAGTGGCTAGGTAGTACTACTGCTGAAAAGGATCTGGGAGTTGTAGTAGATCACAAATTGAATAGGAGTCAACAATGTGATGCAGTTGCTAAAAAGGCTAATATAATTCAGGGGTATATTAATAGAAGTGTTGTATGTAAATCACCAGAGGTAATTGTCCGGCTCCACTTGGCACAGGGGGAGAACTGTGTCCTGGTTTGGGTACCACACTTGAGAAAAGATGTTGATAAATTGGAGAGTCCAGAGAGCAACAAAAATGATAAAAGGTTTAGAAAACTTGATCTCTGAGAGAAGGTTAAAAAAAAACTGGGCATGTTTAACCTTGAAAAAAGAAGACCAAGGGAGACCAGATAAGTCTTCAAATATGTTAAGGGCTGTTATAAAGAGGGTGGTGATCAATTGTTCTCCATGTCCACTGAAGGGATGACAAGAAGTAATGGCCTTAAGCTGCTTCAAGAATGATTTAGGTTAGATAAATATTAGGACAAACTTTCTAACTATAAGTGTACTTAAGCCCTGGAATAGGCTGCTAAGGGAGGTTGTGGAATTCCCATCACTGGAGGTTTTTAAGAACAGGTTAGACAAAGACCTGCCAAGGATGCTGTAGATATACTTGGTCCTGCCTCAATGCAAGAGACTGGACTAGATGACATCTTGAGGTCCCTTCCAGCCCTACATTTCTATGATTGTGTGTGTTTAAGATTTTTCCTGTATTGGGCCAGAGTGCTCAAAAATAAGGGGCTCGATCTTGCAATGTTCTAAAAGTTATATCTTTAGATTTTTACAGTGTGTTCAATTAATTACACACTACAAAGCTGAAGGTATAAAACTTTCTTTGCTAATATATACAGTGACATGAAAATGTTTGTATCAAATGTTTACATTTACTTTGATAAAATATATTCTATATTTAAAGAGGAGATCACATAGATAGCTGAACTACAAGGCTATACACCTCTCAAGAGATCCTGAGGACACCATGGTAACTAGCTACCACAGTGAATCTCAAGTGGTTTGTAAACTCATCAGAAAAAAATGGTTACTAACCTTTCCGTATCTGTTGTTCTTCGAGATGTGTTGCACATGTCCATTCCAATGTAGGTGTGTGCGTGCCACAAGCACAGTCACCAGAACATTTTCTGTCAGTGGTACCCATGGGAGTGGCTCTGGCACCCTTTGGTGCCACGCACTCATAGCGCTGGTATAAAGGGCCCAGCCGATCCCTCACCTCCTCCGTTCCTTCTTTCCGGCCAACTCCAATAAATAAGGGTAGGAGGGGTGGAATGGACATGTGCAACACATCTTGTTGCACAACAACAGTTACAGAAAGGTTAGTAACTGTTTTTTCTTCGAGTGATTGCACATGTCCATTCCAATGTAGGTGACTGCCAAGCAGTTGCAAAGGAGGTGGGATTGGAGTTCATGGACATGCTGACTATAAAACAGCTCGAGCGAAACTGGCATTGTCCCTAGCCTGTTGAGTAATGGCGTGATGACTAAAGAACATATGCACTGATGACCAAGTCACCGCTCTGCAAATGCCCTGAGTGGGACCTAAGCCAGGAATGCTGATGATGATGCCTGTGCTCTCATGGAGTGGGCAGTCAGGATAGCTGGTGGCAGAACACCTGCCTGCTCATAACACTTATGAATGAATAATATGATCCACGACGAAAGTCTCTGAGCCGAGATAGGGAGACCTTTCATCCTTTCAGCAATCGCTATGAAGAGTTGGGTAGATCTACAGAATGGTTTGGACCTCTCTAAAGAACAGTTGGGCACATCTAGCGTCCAGTGTGAAGACGTTCCTCCCTATTGGGAAACCATCTTCGGGAGGAAGCTGGGGTGAAGACGCAGCTGCACCTTATCCTTAAAGAAAACCGTGTATGGAGGCTCCAACATGAGGGCGTGGATCTCCGAGACCCTTCTGGCATAGTAATGGCCACTAAGAAAATCACCTTCCATGAAAACTATGACAAGGGACACGTTGCCAACGGCTCATACATTTTGATAAGACCAGGTTTAAGTCCCATGGAGGGACGGGTTCTCGTATTTGGGGGTATAGTCTTTCCAGGTCCTTGAGGAAATGGATGGATATCTCGTATGAAAAAACAGACCAACTTACCACCAGGGGGGTGGAACACCGAAATTGCTGCAAGGTGGACCTTAATTGAGGGAATCACTAAACCTTGCTGTTTCAGGCAAAGCAAATAGTAGAGAATGTCCTGCAGAGACGACTGCGTGGGCAAGACTCCACGCTGGGAAGCCCATATGGAGAACCGCTTCCATTTTGAGAGGTACATAGCCCTGGTGGAGGGCTTCCTGCTCCCTCATACCACCTGGCGAACCTGCTCCGAGCAAGCCAGCTCTCTGGGATTTAGCCATGGAGCTTCCAGGCCATCAGGTGGAGGGAGCTGAGGTTCAGGTGGAGCAAATGACCGTGGCCCTGGAAGATCAGGTCTGGATGTAGAGGGAGCGGAATTGGAGCAGCCACAGAAAGGCCTAACAGGGTGGTGAACCAGTGCTGCAGGGCCACACTAGGGTAATGAGAATGGCGCGTGCCCGATCCCACTTGATTTTTAGCAGAACCTTGTGCACGAGTGGGATGGGGGAAAAGCATAGAACAGGTGATCTGTCCATGGGAGCAAGAAGGCATCCGTGAGCAAACCCGGGCTGTGGCCTCGCAGGGAGCAAAACTGGTGACACTTTCTGTTGTGCCTAGTTGCAAACAGGTCTGTCTGGGGAGTCCCCCATCTCTGGAAAACATCCCTCACGATGTCCAAGCGAAGTGACCACTTGTGGTGACTGGAGTAAGACCTGCTGAGGCAATATTCCAGTTCATTATGCCCTCTTGGAAGGTGATGAGGCTCAAAGTGAATTGAGTAAGAGGATAGCTTCCTGACACAGGGAGAAAGAGTGAGACCCTCCCTGCCTTTTGAGGTAGAACATGGCTGCAGTGTTGTCCATAAGCACCAGCCCAAAATGGAATGCTTGACAGGGCAGGCGAACTGCTGAGTTCTCTGCCATTGATGTGTAGTGAGAGCTCTTCTGGAGATCACAGGCTTTGAGACCTGAGGAGCCCTAGGTGAGCTTCCCAGCCTAGCGCTGATGTGTCTGAGACCAGGGATATTGAAGGATGGGGCTGTGCGAAGGGAACGCCCACGCAAATCACCAGTGTGTCCAGCCATCAACTGA